GCCGGCCCGGCGGGGAGCCCCGGGGAGCCAGCGGCCGCGGGCGCGGAGCGAGCCTCAGATGCGTCTGTCACACAACCCCGGCCGAGCTATTTAAAGTAACGGGCCTCGCCGGACTTTTGTCTCTGCCTATTTATGAGTCCCCGGGAGCTGGCAGGCGCCGCCGGGCAGCGCTAGGAGCCGAGCCCGCAGCGCCAGCCCCGCGGGGAAGCCAGCGCCGAGCCGGGGCCGGCGGGGGCCCGCCCGGAGCATGACGGCGATCCGGGCGCTCCTGCTCTGCTCCTGCCTGGGGCTGCTGCGACCGGGGGGCGGGCAGCCCTTCCTGCGGCTGCGACCCTCGCCCAGCGACAACCTGCCCGTCAAAGACATCGTGGAGCACCCGGATCCCGAGTACGACCCCAAGGAGCAGGACCTGGACGAGAGGACTCTGAGGAAGAAGCTGGGCAGCCATTTCGACCCCGGTTTCATGGCCGTGGCCGTGCCGGGGCCGGCCAACGCCTCGGGCGCCGAGGCGGCGGCGGGGCGGGGGCGGGCGGCGCTGCCGGCCGAGCTGCGGCGGCTGGAGCTGGGTCCGCCCCAGGGACCGCGCCTCAAGGTGGGCAAGAAGGCGCGGCGGAAGGTGCTGCAGTGGCTCTGGGCGTACACCTACTGCCCCGTCCTCTACACCTGGAAGGACCTGGGCGTCCGCTTCTGGCCCCGCTACATCAAGGAGGGCAACTGCTTCGCCGAGAAGTCCTGCTCGCTGCCCGAGGGCATGTTCTGCAAGCCCGTCAAGTCGGTCACCAAGACCTTCCTGCGCTGGCACTGCCAGGGCTGGTCCAGCCAGAAGTACTGCACCTGGATCCCCGTGCAGTACCCGCTCATCTCCGAGTGCAAGTGCTCCTGCTAGCCTCCCTCGGCCCCTTGCACTGCCGCCTTCTGTCGTTTGGATGATTTTTTTTTTTTTTTTTTTTTGGGGGGGGTGGGGTGGGTGGGTTGGTGGGTTTGTTTTGTTTTTTTTTTCCACACCCCCCCAGCGCGGGATGGGGGTGGGGAGGAACCGGGTTTTTGGTTTTGGGGGTTTTTTTTTGGTTTTGTTTTTTTTTTTTGGACTTATTTTAATGTTATTTTATTTGAAAGGGGAAAAGCGAACCCAGGAACTGCAGGGCAGGCCAAAGGCACAGTAAAGCACTACAATCAGATGTCTATTTTTATACGTATATAGCCTTCTAACAAAAGGAAAATAAAAAACTAAAAAAGAGAAAAAGAAAAAAAAAATAACCAGCCGTGTAAATAGAGAGATTTTAAAGGAAAGGGGGGAAATCGCAGCTGTTTTTTTATTATTATTATAATTATTATTGTTATTATTATTATTTTAAAGACATAGGACCACATTTTAAACCTGTCCCCACAGAACCTGAGCACTTCCCTGCTGAAGGGAAGGGCAGAAATTTCCTGTAAAGATGATTTTATCAAAAGGAAGGGGGGGGGGGGGGTAAAAAAAAGAAAAGAAAGAACGGCAGCATCCCCGAAGACGGTTGTTTCTCTGTGCTGTATTTTTTTTGTGTCTTCTTCAGACCTTGTCACTGACATTTGAACTAATTTGCCAAGCTCTCTAGGGTTTTTTTTTTAAGTGTATAACAATTAATTAAGGAGGAAATTTTAAAGAAAAGTACAAATCTATGAAAGAGTGGAATCGTTTTGTTGTGTGGGAATACATATAGTCATGTAGAGATGTTAAAGGAAATTTTCTGTGTACAGTTTATTTATTTTTAACGTTTGTGTATAGGAAAAAAAGCTAGAGATTATGCCAGAAACTATTGGAAATGTTTACTTGAATATTCCTTTAAAAACATATCAATGTAAATATGAGCTATCACTGATCAAAACATTTTTAGCAATAAACTCTATCTTTGAAGAAAAACCCCATGCTGCACCCCAGCTCCCTGGGAGACCAGCAGAGACTCGAATTCTTGCTCGGAGCAGGTGATGAGTAAAGGGCTTTGGCTGGGCCACGCTGGTGTAAATCGCGAGACGCCCCGAAGGTTGGTAGAGCTCCACCGATTTACGCCTCTCCGGGATCCCGCTCTAGGTTTTCTTTGTTTATATAACCTGTTGGGGAGAAAAATAAAGACGGGAGAGAAATGGCTCATAATGCATAAAAGAGCTGCGATGTCCCGGACAGGAGGTGTCATCTGAAGTCCTTGGGAGATTCCTGCTTCGTGTCGCCCGTCCCAGGCTCCCGCATGCTCTGTGGCTCTTGGATTTGGCTCTCCCGCTGGCAGAGGAAGCGGTCGAGGTTACCGCCCCGGCCATCAAAGCGCCTGACACAGCTTGGCAGCCCCGTGTGTGTCAGAACAAATGTTTTTTCTCGGCTGCCGCCACTAGCACAGGAGGGAAGGATGGAGACGAGCCCTATGCCCAGCCCTGCTGCCGCGACGAAGCCCCGGGGCTGGCATCTCTCCCCTGCAGTGTAGCCGGGTGCGTGTTGGGGTCAGGAGGAAGCGCTGATCCTGCAATGGTGCTGTGTGCCCTCAGCTTACCATCCTCGTGTGCCGGGACCGGTGGGACCCCCCACTCTCCCGCTGGAGCTCATGGAGCCAGGGCAAGGGAGAGACGGGACGGCTCCGCAACGGGCAGGCTGCCGGCAGCCAGGACGGCTGGGGAGGAGCCCAGCACTGGTGAGCGGGAGCACGGGCAGTGCAAGCCCGCTCCCGAAGGAGATCTGTCTGTTTGTCTGTCTGTCTGTCATAGGGCTTGGAGCAGGGCCCTGACGGGCTGCCAGGCCGTCCCCCTGCATGCTCCGCGTGGGCTGCTGGTGCTGGAGGGGAAGGTCTGGCCGTTCCCTCCGGTGTCTGAAACGCGCCCGGCATCCCCAAGGAACAAACTGCTGCTGAAGGCTCTTGCCAGTGAGGAGCTGTGCTCCGCCAAGCCGTCTGTGGAGCGGCGGGGAGACCCCGTCCCCCTTCAGCTCGGCACACAGCGGAGGAGAGCAGCATGACACCAAGCCCGTGGGAAGGCGCCAGGACCCTCTGAGGGGTCTGGCTCGCATCCCTCCATCTTCCTCCAAGGGGACCGCGGTCCGGCGAGTCCCCGGGAGCAGGCCTGCAGAGCCCAGAGGTCATGCACAGATTGAGGCCGAAACAGGGAAAGAGCTTTTCTAATGGGCACAGTGGGGATGAGGCGAGAGGGACAGTGACATCCAGCAGCCAATGTCCCTGCAGAGCCCTGTGGTCATCTGTGCGGCCCCGCACAAGGAGGCAGGTTGGCCTTTCCACACAATCATCAGTGAGGGACCAGGGAAGGGGGGGACGTGGAGGGCAGGGTGGAAAAGAGACCTCGGCGAAGGCAATGTGCAAAACATCAGGGGCATTTGGGAGAGGAAGGGGAAAGCTCATTTTGCAAGAGGAACAACATCTGTGGTGTGGGGGCCGAACATCTGTAGGAGGGAGCATGGGGGGAGGGCATTCTGGGAAAATATTTCTGACATAATCCCAACAGTATCTGGTGTGTTGGGATTTGGTTACAAATGGCCCTCTAACGTCTTTGTGCGTTTTGTTCTGCTGGTTCCAGGGGCACACAGAGACCCCTGCTTTGTGCTAACCTGGGAAATAAACCATTCGCTGGGCTCAATGGCTGAGTTCAGTTGCGCGGGGAAGGGGGGGTGGGAATGGGGAAGGCGAGATTTGTGTGAACTCCAGCAAAAACCAGCCTAAAAGCCTCCGTGCCATGTGCTGGAGGGAGGAGGGGCACTGCCTCCGTCTCTGGGGAGAACTCAGGGGTCCAGCTTGAGATGACGGCTTGTCTGGAGGCAAAAGTATGAGAGCTGAGAGCTGAGTTGCTCGGTGCAGACAGGGGACGGGGAGCTGAGGGCAGCCCCACAGGGTGCATGCCAGCTCACCGGGCCCTGCCTCGCCAACCTGCCGCGGCGCTGGTGTGCGGTCACCTCATGCCAATGCACAGTCACCTTGTGCCGAGGAGCCTCCTGCTCAGCTGCCCCGGGAGGCAATGAGTCGAACGTGTGATGGCTGGGCCGTGGGCGTGATGGCTTGCCTCGTCTGCTGAGCCTCAAAGGAGCAAAAGACAAAGGGGAACAAGCCTGGTTCTTTGGTGCGGTTATTTCATTGTCTCCCCAAGCTGCTTGTGATTAAGGGACAAGGGGGGGGGGGGGGGGGAAGGGGGCAGAACAGGCAGAACCGGCAGAGCCCCTAGATGCAGTGGGTGCTAACTTCTGAAGACATGGGTCTTTCCTCCTGCGCTCTGGGGTGGTGGCCCAGGAGACGGGCCCGGAGCACCGAGGGTGGGTGGCATCCTCTAGGTTGGGTCATGCTTGTCATCACGTTGGCAAGAGACATGCTGTGGCCACACACTGACAAGCGTGTGCACGCCCACTCCTGGGCACCCAACCAGTCCCTCCATTCATCCAGTATTTGCAGGGGGACCGTGCCCTGCGAAGCTGTAGTGAGCCGCACGCTTTGCTGTCTCCCTTCTCTGCCCTGAGTCTTGGGGCTTAAGCAGAAGGTGGTTGGCAGCAGGATCAGCAGTTTAACCCCTTCTTCCTTCGGGCAGGGTAGAGCAGACATGGTGGAGGAGGCTCCATGGGACCTGATGGCTGCCCCATGCGCTGCAGGCACACATCCACTGGTGTGACAGGGAAGCGAAGGCGGCTTTCCTCTCCACAGCCAGCGCTGGCCAGAGCTCGCCTGCTCTGACACCATGTGCTGTGCTGGGGCAGCTCCCTTGGCTGGATCACGCCCCTCTCTTGGGTCCGCAGAGGTCTCCATCTCTTCCTTCTGTGTGTCAAGGCCCTTCTGTCACCTGGTGAATTGCTCTCCCATGCATGAACTCCAGATTTAGATGATCTTGTTTGTCTTGGGAGACAGCGTGAGCTCAGGATGGCTTCTGACATTTGACTCGGTGGTATGAAGGCACTTTTCCATTTGCCTTTCACATCCTGGTTTGGCTTTGACACCAGCAGCAAGTTAACTCTTTTGTCTTTGTTGCCAAAGGGTATTTCATCCCCATTTTCCTGTGCCACCTCGCCCCGTTTAGCTCAGGTCCCCTCAGCTAAGGCCAGTCTCCAGGAATGCAGTTTCTGTTGGCACACCGGCTCTGCTAGGGTGACCCAGATTCACAGGGCCGGAGTTCACAGATGTCTAATGCCAGCTCTTGAGATATCTGACTCGGGCCCGGGTGATGATCTAAGCCCATCACTCACCATTCTTAGAAAGGCAGATGAATGGGGAGGCAGTAATTGGCCTCCTCAAACTTTCAAGCCCAGGCTAAACTGGGACTTTTCTCAACATGCAAAATTGCGCTCGTCTCCTCCCCGGCATGAGCATTTGCTGTCACTCACCTTTGCAGCCCGGCATGGCCACCAGGAGCTGCCTTGGAAAGCCAGTCTCTCTGGATGCCCTGCTTGGTCCACCAGCAGGTCCCTGGTGAGCCCGTTCTGCCGACCACTGCTGGCTAGGAGCTCCAGGTGAGCTGGACCTGCTTCCTCCAGGCATCTCCAGCTCCTTGTTCGCCAGCACAATGAAAAACATGCAACAATGCTGACGTTAACAGCGCCAGTACAGGCCAGGGTGGACCGTGCTGACTGTAGGTGTGCCCCATGGGGTAGGCAGAGGTGGGCTCCTGTCTCGCCATCTCCCCAGGGCTGTCAGGTGCAAGGGGGGGGGTGTCTGCTTCCTCCATGCAAGATCCACCTCCAGCTGCCTTTCTCTCCGCTCCTTTGCTGTTCTCCTTAGCTGCCTTTGTCTCCGTGTATAGTAAACCCAACCACATGCCCAGTGGCTGCTTGGCAGAGCTGAGCCCTGACCCCTCACCAGCATGTGTGTGAGGAGATGCAGGGAGTATCTGGGACTTTACTCACTGTCACTCCAAAGGTGTCGGACAGGCTGCTGGTTC